CCTGGCAAAGAAGGTCTCCTGCCCGAAGGATCCGGGGAGAGGGTACAGGTCAGGTCAAACCCCATCAGAAACTCTTAACACAGCCAGGTGCTTCTTTTGGCCATTCCTCCATCGGATGTGGCCACCAGCACTAGTTTGACAACTCTGCAATTCAAGACCTGATGCAGGCCTGCCAATGCCACGATCGTAAACAAGTTAGAAAATATATTGCAACCTTTATCACTGCAAGTGTTTTTTAAGCCATTTTGATGCTGTTATGTGCGGCAAAGTCTATAGACGCCGTAGTGGCTAGACTCAACCGTGTGCCGACCTGGGGGGGGATTACCAGGTCACCAGTGGGCGCACAGGGTTGGGTTAGTTTGGATTCATAGTCATTAGGGTTTGGTTAGTTGAGATTAAAGAGTCCTAAAAGATAGGGATAGTTGGTTAGGTTGAGTCCTATATGTATCAAACTCTATGGATCAATAAAGGGTTAGCCTAGGGTTGAGTTTATCTCACCTTGGTTCCTGGGCGTTACTGTTCACGATCCACCTCTTGCCGCAAGTCTTCAGCCAGGCGCCGAGCACGGCGCCGCCAGTTCATCGTCGAGGCTTCAAGCCCAGGCCTCGCACCTTCCACTCCTACAGCCTTCGATCCCTAAGCCGTAACAGATGCCTTTTTGTACACTCTTTTTCATGTGATTCAGCAGCAACTTCTAGTCAAATCAGGCATGGCAAAAATCTTTCTAGAGGAAACACTTGAATAATCCCAAGCAAGCTGGGGGAGCATAGAAATTATGCTTTGCTATCGTAGGTACAAACTGACTTGCACAGCAAACTATGCGGTGGGATATGATTTAAAAAACATTGCAGTTGTAAATTGACTCAGACTACCATATGCCCTCTGTACTGAAATACTTAAGAGGACATTACTTCCACAACTACAACTGTATAAAACCTTAGAAATTTTACTGGAAAACAGAGACAAGAAAATTTATACCAGATAAGTTTCTTAGGTCTGTTCTTTTGCAGAAAGCTCCAGAAGATGCTCTGCCTCCCTCAGGAACAACCTTGTCAGCTGCTTTTGCCCTCTTCGGTACACTATACATGAACGGTAATTTATTTTTGACTTCTTTTTGTGCTTCTCATCACTTTCACTGCGAGAATAAAAGAAAATGGTTTGCATATCATTACGATAAAACATGAGGCTGATAAACAAAGACGTGCTCTAAAATCTGTTAGCTCCCTGCACATCTTGGATATTTGGGCTATTCATGTTGTATCCTAAAAACCATTTTCAATAGTGCCCCATAGTACATTGCGGGAAATAAGTATAGTACCATGCATGGATGTGAATCTAAGATAAGGAAAAATAAAACAAAAAAACTCTTGAGAAAAGCCAAAATTTGATCTGCCCACCTCGCGTAGTCTTCTGACCGAATGGAATCAAACTGCTCAAGCAGTTCAGTGTCAGATGCTTCTGTTCCAGAGCCCTCTTCAAGTTCAGCCATTCTTGCAAAATGGATGGAGTGATGATCTATGGGTTATTCTTGATGCTATACCAAAGACGGCTATATGATCCAAAATACATCAATAGGAAGATAAAAGTGATTACTTGACCCCAAGAAGATCCACAAGCAAACCCAGTGCACCCTGATCACCGCAGACCTCCCAAATAGCACTTTGGATCTCTGCATCAGATATTTCTCTATCTTCACGAGATCCAACCTAGCAAGAACAAATTCAGCAAAGGCCCTAGAATCAATTTGCAGCATAATACAGAATTTGTCGTGTTTCATGTTTAGATGCATCGCATCCAAATAAATTCTTTGAGCACTTCAAATATAAGCGTAGTCATCAGTTGTCAAATAGGCCATATAGAATAATGCTGAAAACAAAAGTTAATCTTCATCTAAATTCTGACGTTAGATCAGGAATTGAAACTTGTTATGAAACTTGAGATCACAATTGCTTCATGAATACTTTTTTACGGCATGCATAGCCAGTAAAGCTCATATTCATGAATGCAGCCTTCATGACATGGATCATGGATGTGATGCCAAAAACTAGTGCCTCCATGCAAACGACATGAAATAACTATCATCTGGCGCTGCCGAAAAAACAGGGGCATATGCAGCAAATTATGTAGCTGCACACATTACAAGAGTGTGAAAGCACCCCTGCTAGTTAGTTTTAAGATTTTGAAACCTAAGGACTCCAAGTTGAGTCATAGGAGGAGGATGTCAGCTAACAAAGCATGCCTAAATCACGCTACATGGAATTCTGCCATTTTGGCACAGTAGATGGCTAAGAAAAGATTCTTACGTGCACAGTCACTAGTCTCCTACTCCTTTTCAGTATACAGTTATCAACAGATCAATTCAGAAGTAGCGAACGAAACGCTGATCACTGCATCTCCAGAAAATGTAGTATGACGCCTTAAGAATAAAGTCCAAATCTAAATCATGAGATTATAGCCTCAGGAGTCAACTCTTGGCTTAAAATACACCGTAAAAAGTGCTAACCTCTCCAAGTAAAGAAGCAACTTGTTCAAGCTCATGTTCTTGCATGGCAATCGTCCGTAGAGTACTCATAAATTCCTGAGGGAAAACATTTTTGTGAAGATATGATGGAACTTTGCGTTGACCACTCCAACTAAAACTTGAAAATGGACTAGTATTTTTCTTGCTATCCTTATCTTCACTGGAACAGATACCAAAAAATCCATTATCAAGCAATCTTCTGGGTAGGAGGCATCTCAATTCGCCCTTCTGCAAAATACAGAAGACACACAAAGTGAGATTCATGGAGGTATTGAATGCTTAGAGGGCTTGATCTGGTTAGTGCAGTCATCATAATCTTGAGCTGTCCTGATCAGGGACAAATTTTGAAATCTTTGTACAAATTAACAATCAAAAGCGATACGTAAGGTAATTAATAAGCACAAAGTACTTATTACTAGTAGGCGATTCCCAAAACCCTGGCATGTACAGGTAGCACCTCAATATAATGATAGAAGCAATGCATGAATAGGGTGGAAAAGGGCTAATCCCTTGGCAGTACCTGCATCTCTAGTAGCTGCATTTTTGTATCAGCAGACTGGATCTGTCTAAGAGCTTCCAAAGGATAATGAACCTGCACTTAGCAAGTAACCAGAGCTTACTTTATTAGATACATCTTATGTAAGTATGCCAAAACAGGGAAAAATACTGAATCTTAACAATTTAATCCTGTAACACGTGAGGCCTTTCAAACAGCCAATCGAATAATTGTATGGTTTATGAGTAACTTATACAAACGACGAGACACAGATATGCTATTCTATGAAATTTCAAATCCTAGCTCTATTGACTCAGCAATAAATGAGAAAGGAATTAGTAATGAATAATGACTTCATCCTTTTCTTTCAACTTTCCACTGCAAATGTTCTTCCTTTGGTTGCTCCAAAGAGCAATAGAGTTAGGTTTCCAAATATCACAGGATGGTAAACTGATTAGTACCACAGATTTTTAAGCCAAACATTTACTTGGTCAGTTTAATAGTCCAAATTCTGACCTTTCTTTATTTTTTGGCTACAAAAGATAAATGGAAAAATTCTAAATTATTATCTTTTAGCACATACATCATTATGAGGGTTACCATGAGATAATCATCAGGATTGTTGTCAACCACAAATCCATAGAGGTACAGTAGTTCCTGTAAGTACACAAAGTACAACACTTCATCAGTAAGGCTATTCTAGTTGTTAAACTATTAAACATGGAACTGCACAAAACAAAACCGTCTTTTCACCTCTAAGTATGATCAGTGTGAAATCTAGAGCAATAATTCAGCATTTGCACTAGAAGTAAATCCATAAGTAACTAAGGATATATGAATCCATGTGCCACTCAAATCAAATAACCAGACCCCAGGGATAAAAAAAGCCACATAATCTTCAAGCAGTGCATCCCCCTCATTTGATTTTGTTTCCTTTTAGATTATGCATCGTCAAGACCAGGAAACATTAGATTGTTTTCTGGATTTCTTTGCCAAAATTGTAACTAAGGCCTAGGAATACAGATCTAAAGAAATTTCTTGTAAGGGTTTCTATTGTTCCACAAGAGGCAATCACACAAGTATCATGGTGCCGTATTAGTATACTACAAAAAGTGTGATAGAGAGCCTAAACAAGAATATGTGAGACAAAGAGAGTGATCCAAGTCATACAACGGCAACTATAATAAAAAACAGAAAACTAAAATTAAAAAGAACAAAACATTAGCGGTAAACTAATAAGTAATAACACTAGATCTACACATATTTTTGTGAGTAATACCTCATTTCCTTTGTTGCCATAGTTTATGCAGATCTCTGCTCCAGCCTCAGCAGAACTTTTATCAGCTTCAGAAAGAAACGAAAACATACAATTAATCATAATGGGAATAATTATCTTACTGAAAATATTAGCTTAAAGGAAAGCCACAAAGTTCATTTATCATGTGGTGAACTATACAAAAAGAAGGTTGGATCATAAAAGTTACCAAGCAAGAGGTACATTGAAGCAGGAATTCCAGTAGCATTTCCCACAGAATCAACTTCCCATGTTGCCAGTGCCTTTACATCTAGTGAATACAATCAAACTAGCTTATAACAGGGTAAGAGTGATGCTAGACTAACAGATACATCATACATGTTTACTTTCTTGTCGAAAAACAGGCAATACTTTGTCAGACTGTAGTTGATGAATTAAATATAGAACCCTTACTATGATTGCAGAAATCAATTCCTGGGACAAGGCCCTCAACCCAAATTGACTCTGTGTTACTTGATTTAGAATTCTCATCAGCACTATGATCCTTAGCTGTATTGTCAATTTCCTGCCGAAAAAAAAGAGCAAGTATTTTGGCACAAGAACATATGGATGAAGAAAACCATTTAAAATTAATAGTGAAGATGCCAGAAAGCACGAGTAGAAATGATGCCCATGGTATACCAGAGCCTCACGAAGTTTCTTTAACTATTTCTATGTTAGGAAAAGGTCACCCACTTGAGCATACAGGTACAATTATGATACCAATCCCCCAAAGTCCGAAATGGCTCGAGACTCAAGATTTGTGACCATGACACAAATGTTGAATTCAGTTTCAACTTTTAAAAGTCTGCAACAATCCTGAGGCTCATTTGATCCTCAGGATTTTTTTCCCCGCAAATTTTTTTTGGAACGGAGGGAGTAGGTAAATGTACTATCCCCACCATCAAATGAGCCTCAGGATTTTTTATTTTTTATTTTTGCGGGGAAAAAATCCTGAGGTAAAAAAAAAATCCTGAGGCTCATTTGATGGTGGGGATAGTACATTTACCTACTCCCTCCATTCCAAATTGTAAGATTTGTGACCATGACACAATGTTGAATTCAGTTTCAATTATGATACCAGTGCTAGGTTGGAAGGTTTGAAATTGACCTGTTGGGCAGGGGGGCCAGAATAGCAAGCATCATTGCCGGTTCCGATTTGTTCATCGCCACATGACCCCGGAAAAACATAAGAATGAGGCAGTGGTATGTTCAGTGCTCGAGTCCAGAAGATTGAGTTTGCCCTGTCAAAGACTCATACTGCTGATTAGAAAGAAAATTAGCTGGAGATAATAAAATTGGGATGTCTATATGGCAGTTTCATTAAGCTTTCGATTATGTACACTTGTGGAAAGAATTAGTCCTTGACACCATCACTTTAATCAAGCAAGAATTACAGATTCCTTAACACCGATCAAATTTTCACCATGACCACAGGAAAAGGAAGCAGGCACTCGATGCTAGATAGTGAAACATGTTAACTTTTTTTGAATGACTAATACAGTAATACCTTGTCACGCCTTATTTGGTTCAGCTATTGTTTTTTCGTGTGGCTAACTCATTTATGCACGTGGGCCATACTGAACATCCAATTGCATGGTAGATTTGCAGGTAAAATAGTATAGCTATGCAACACTACTAATCATGGTGAAAATGAACTCCTAATTGTTATACTATTGTAACAGATGATACCTAACTAATCTACACAAAAGATTCTTCTGTTTCTTCTTGATTACAACATTTCAGGATTGTCTTCTTCTCTTGATTCTCCAATCCCATGTACTGTTTACAACATTACATTAACACAGCGTTGTCCACAGTCCACATAATGGCATGATCAATCAAGATGGTAAAATGATATCAAGTGAAGTTTACAGTATGTCGTTTCTAACTTTAGTACAAACAAGAGTTATTACATACCAAAGGAAATCCTCAAACAACACTTCAATTAAGCTGCAAAACAGTTTTGATAGTATTAGCATTTAACGAATGGAAAGTTTCAAGCAGATCAAAAGGAGTACATTTCTCAGCAAACATGCTACAACTACAAGCAATGTAATGAATCTTAGTTTCAGAGAGAAAGGCCAGGAGACACCAATTTACTTGAGAGGGAGTACAATAGAGATAGAATAATCTTTTTTTTTTTTTTGCTTAAACATAATACTTTATGTATCAAGCAATAACAATGAACCTTTCAAGAAAAAAGGGCCAGATGGCACTGGCTTACTCGAGGAGATGGCAGAAGAGAAGTGATATGGAATGAAGTTAATATTTATGTGCTTAAGCATGATGCAACATTCTGTTAGTTTTCAGGCTCCTAACAACTCAATCAATGAGACAAAAACAATGACCGGGCACCTAATAAATAGATATCCATGCACCTAAAAAGCTGAATATCTGACAATATTTTAGAAACGCCTAAGTGATAATTTGATGCTAAGCAGAATTAGATGCAATTGCTAGGTCGGTAGGCCCTAGCGCCAGTCCCTTGGTTGCACAAAAACAGGCCAGTATTTGCACATAAGAAGTGATGCAGCATAAAAGAGTTAGAAGAATCACCAACATTATTACAGCACAATCAGAGTGAAATTCAAATTTCAACATGAGGCCATGAGAGCATACATAGGTATGTCATTATTTGGGTGATGTTAAATTTGTGAATTGATGGGTCTTAAGTACATTTTGAAACAAATATAAAATCATGAGAGATGCAATTAGGTCAATAACATAAGATCTGCAAGTGTAGTAAGGGCTAGGTGAAAAAGGCTATTCAGATCAAAATAGACTCAAAAGGTCAATAAACCATAATGGTAACCACAAACCACACTAGAAGTGAATTTCAAACACCTTATAAACTAAATCCATACCTTGCTGATTCATCGACATGTAAAAGATCCTCAACGAGTCCTTTAACCTTCTCATCAAATGAGGATTGCACTGACTTCCTCTGAAACAAAATCCCAAAACGACTGATTGTCTTTACCACCCAAGATCCCCAAGCAGAAGTCTAACAACAACAGTGATGAACCTGGATCACCGTAGCCCGGTGCAGAGTCGTCCCTTCCAGTTCGGCAAGCTCTTCCTCAGTAAACCAAAGGGAGCTCCCGAAGGTGCTCGGAAGCATATCCAAATATCTGCGATTGCAGTGACCCACCACTTCAGCTACAGTTGAAATTATTTCCGTGTGCGGGGGGGCAAGGGGAATTCGGTTGCAGATTGCGGTCATACGGCTTCCAGAGTGAGCCAGGGCGTCGGCGCTCGGCCATGAGGAAGAGCATGACGAGGAGGCGGTCGTCGACGCCTCCCTCCTCGAAAAGCGCGCGGCACCGCGGGCCGACAAGTGGGTCCTGCAGCACCCGCATCGGCGTGATGGCGAGGTCGAGCGGCACCACCATCGCCACCCCTGCACCGCACCAGCGCAACGCCCGGATGAGCCTCGTCAATTCGGGGGAGGGGGAGAGGAGAGGAGAGTTACCGTCGTTGGAGCCCGGATCGGGGACGGCGGTGGAGAAGACGCCAAAACCCTTGCCGCCGCATGCGCGGATCATGCAGCCGCGGAGGTCGGCGCCGTTGGCCTGCAGCGGAAAGGGAGGGGTCGGGGTTTAGGGTTTTAGGGGGGAGCAAGGGTTGGACGGGATATGGGAAAGGGAGAGGGAGCGACCTGGAGCCATTGGAGGAAGGATTCGAGCTTGACGTCGTCGTCGGCAGCGGCGGCTGCCATGGCGGTGTTCGAGTTCGACGAATTGCGCGAGGTGGAGGGAGCTGCAGAGGGAATTGAGGGGCTGACAGGCAGGTGGGCCTTATTACGATCAAGCCCTTGGGCTGACAGATGGGCCTGATTGCAATTAGGCCCATCCAATCATGCCTACTCTTTAACTATTGAACCTTTATTTTGGCGGCTACGTCTAGCGCTCGGAGTCCGGCGCCAGCGGCGCGTCCGGATGCCCGCGCCTACTACTTTCCCGATTTGACCGCTTGGGGCGGGGGGATGGGGGATTATAGCGCCCGCTACCATCTCGCCATCCGAGTAGCCTCACCAAGACTCCCTTTCCCGCGTCTCGCCATCAAGCGCATAATGTCATTGGTGACCGACCGCATCCAGCTGGAATAAGGAGAGAGAGAGAACAGCCCAGCATGCATGCAGCTTCATGCTCCACGGCCAGCTTTGTGCACACGGGACCGCTGCGCTCCGAGGGGACCACCTCTACCTGCGACATATGCGTATGAGCACTACAACATATACAACATCCAGATAAAAAATTTATAACATACGTTTGAAACAGTTAAAATATCTAAAACATATACTTGCAACATACGTGTATAGCTAGTGCAACATATACAACATCTAGATACAACACTTGCAATATACGTATGAACTCATATAAAACGTTTGAAACATACGTCTGAAACACTTGAAAAAACACATGAAACACTAGAAAAACATTGCAACACATACGCAATATCCAGATAAAACACTTGCAACATATGAGTGAAACATATGCAACATCCGGATAAACAGACTTGCAACAAACATCTAAAAAAACAAAATGAAACATTAGGAACAAACGTTTGCAACATACGTGTACAACCATTGCAACATATGCAACATCCCGATCTACTTTTGCAATATCCGCATGAAACAATTGAAATATACATCTAAAATAACTGAAACACTTAAAACATGAGCTTGCAACATGTCTGAAAAAGAATCTAGAAACACTTGAAAAACACATCATCGTTGCACGGCCATGACCTACCTGGTAGGCAGCTGCGATGGTGCAGGCTCGCTGTGTAACACCCTCGATCCTAAATCATTTACTAAAACATGTCATGAACATCATATTTGTGTGTTAATGCATGTGGTGAAGTGAGTAGATAATGCATTGCAACTAAAACGATCAACAAAACTACTAAACAAAAGTTGCTCCACGATTCGTACAGTTAACAAGTAGGGGTGTAAACTAATTGTTATTGAACAAAAATTACTATAGAACATATATATGAGACTTAAATAAAGTTTAAAGTACAAACTTTGTAAATAACAATACAACTCTTGCTGTAGAAAATAATGTTACTAGCTAGTATTTCTAATAGTCTAGAAACAGAACTTGAAAACAAATCCAGCTCAAGACTTAGAAAAATTCCTAAGGTAAGCAGTAGTGTGACAAAGCCATGTTTGACAAATTATTTTGTGAAATTAAGCTAAGAAGGGGTGTCGTGTTGTAACTCTCGTTGATAGCCTAAGGTGCCCTCTTTAGAGTAGTGAAGATGGCTTGGTTCCAAATTGAATCGTTTAGTTTTTACGGACGCTTTAAAATTCGTGCGCGTATTCAGTCTCGGGCCACCGGGCTCGGGCGCTTGGTCACCACACGTGGCCGTTCTACGTTGTTGCGTGGTTGTGTCGTGCGCGCGCATGCGTGGCCGCACACCGGCTAGCCAAGGCTGCCCTTGGTCTGGTCGTGGCCTGGCCGCGGCTTGGCCGCTCTGGCCGCACCGCTTACAGCCAGCCGTAGGCCGCCGTTCCCCACGCGGCCCTCTCTGCGCCCGACCACCACTGCCACCGCGGCTGCCGCTGATGCTGCTGCTGCCCTCCATGTCACGCGTCGCGACGCAATCGCGGTCGTAGTTGCTATCGCTGTCGTCGTGTCACTCCCGCACTCGCGCCTGCTCATTGTATCGCGTTGCTCCCTCCTTGGCCCGGTTGGGTGCCATCCGCATGTGGCCGTGCACACCGTTGTCACGCCATTAATGGCGCTACGACACGTGGGCCATGGCCGATCGTGGATGCTCGTGCTAGTCCCCTCGTGCTTGGACGTAGGTCCCTCGGCCACGACAACCGCGTCCCACCAAGGCATGCGCCAGCAGAACCACATACCGCACCCGCCCCCCTTTTTTTCCCGCTGCGCCTCTGCTTTCCGCCGCTGTCGAGTCGCGGTCACGGTGAGCCAGAGAGCGAGCACCTCTCATCAATTCCTTGTGCCCTACGTCTTCGCCTTTACGTCCTCATGCCGACCGCCCCCTCCCCGCCTTGATTGGTGCCAGGCCGAGCTCCAATTTTGGAGCTTTGCTTCCGCCACCGCGCCATTACGGTCGAGCCCGCCTCACCGTGGACAGCTTCCACCTCGCCATCTCGAGCCAGACTGACTGCGCCGTTAGCCCCGTCTAGAACCCTTCATCGCCATGCGCACCTAAGCCGCACTCCTACCACCGTCTCTACGCCGCTGATGTGGCCGCACCACCGTGACCCGTCGTTGAACTTGTCGCGCGCACGCGGCCAGTCTCGCTCGGGGCATCTCTGGCCAAGCCATCGCAACGGGTAGGTTCGTGGTGAGTCACTGGTGCTCACCAGCTGTTTCTACCACTTTTGAAAGGCCGTGGCTCACCGGAACTTGGCTACCGCCGTCACACGGTGCCCGTCATCGTGGAGAGGCTATTCTACTACATCTCGGCTCGTCCAACCGCTGCCCGAAGTTGCGCGTCGCCCCATAGGTGAGGATCGACCTCCTAGGTGCGTCGGAGGGATCCCCGGTTGGCCGGTGTGGCAGCCCCGTGCCAGCCGACGCCGCGGCGGCGAGCGCGTTGGCATCGGGGACCCGCCAGATGTAAATATGGGTTAGGACGAGGGCCTATCGGCATAAGGGCCGACTGTAGGAACAAGGCGCATAAGAGCTACGTTAATACTAGAAAGAGCAATGACGTTTTTGCAGAAGCGCCACACGCGCGCGGCTCCCTCCCGCCGCGGTCCAGCCTGTGTGCGTGCGCGTGCGCGGCACGCGCAAGTGGGCCGCATCCACATGGTTGTGGGCCACGCTGGTGAATTCGTGTTTCCTTTTATTAGAAAATAGAAATAGCCTTATATTTTAGCTTATGTGCTGAACTTTGATAATTAACAACAATTCATATAAAGTGTCCAAAAATCGTGAAACCAATTTTGTTAGGTTCTTAAATTCTTTATCTATCTGTTAGTATAATTATTTCATACATATCTGTGATGAAACTGAGGTCTATTAAATCAATTGGAAATACTTAATATTATTATGTTAATAATTGTAGGAATTGTCATCCGCGAGGTGGAGCGCGTCGTGCCCAAGACGGCTGTCAGCGGCCGCGCCTCCCCCTCGTCGTCATGGCCCACCCCCATCTCAGTCTCAGCTCCCCCACATGCCACATCACAATCGCAATGGCATGCCCCCATCTCGTCATGGCCCGCCTCCCCCTCGCTGCCGCTTGCCTCCTAGCATGTCACGCCATCCAGCAATTGGACTCGTGCCGTCGCCGACCTGTAGCCCCACGGCTACAGCGTGTTGGTCAGGGCCTACTCCAAGTGAGAGAGCGCGGTTATCGCCCTGTGAGTGTTCGACAAAATGCGCGTCGCATAGGTGGAGAGGAAGAGGGTGGAGAAGGAGAGGGCAGGAGCATGAGAGACATTTCACACCCCCCGCTAACTCGGATCCACGCTGGCGTGGGGATCTAGCGTGCCACTCGAGCAAAAGTGGTATTTTTGTAGCTGTTTTCTCTCTCTGCTGCTAAAACCGTAGCACCAATTCTAAGAGTGCTATCTCAGAAGTTGCCATTCGATATAATGATAAAAAGTTAAATATCCCGGCGAGCTGAATAGCCTGGATCAATGGCTCGATCAACGTCAGCACGAGAATCCAACGGCCTAGAGAAACAGGCGAAGTGTCGCCCAATAAGATGGCCAAGCTTAGCCTGATCTCGTTACGTAGAGATATGTAAGAACTCTCAAAGATATGAACACGTACATGATTTCATTTCTCAGTTTAAAAAATGATCCATAAGATTATATTAAATGTGTCAAATTTAACACTCCTTGTGTCAAAAATGATCCATAAAATTTCATTTCTTCATCATACTAGTAACTAGTAACTGCTATTTGCAAGTTCGTCTTGGCGTGTTGCGCTTTGGATGGGCTTCTGTAGGCATTTGGAATCTGGGTGAAAACCCTACCCGGCTGTTGCTCCGGTGCAAATGGCGTCATATCTCTCCATGAAGGCGTCGTTGTAGTTTCCACTTCCTGCTTTCGCGAAGGCCATTCTGGGCTTACGCATCCGCTAGGCAGGTCTGGAGGCGAAAGCCCTTGTGAGCCTGGTGCTTCGGTCATCGATGGTGACCTATGTGAACGTCATTTCCCTTCTTGAAGACATCGACACAAGCACGCCTGCTCCCGGCCGCGTCCAACGCGGCCTTGTGCTCTCTCTCTCTCTCTCTCATTGCTCTCCCTCCCCATCTTATTATTGATCTGACTAACCTCCTACCCCTTGGCCTTTGCGCACACTGCTTGCTGTCAGGTGCTCGTCGTCAACGGCTTGCTCTATCGTTCTCTAGTTCTTTGAGTGTTTTTCCTCATCATATGCTAGGCTGTGTGGACCTTGATCTCTTCTCTAGATCTCCTCGTTCTCCTCCTGGTGGCCGTCCCCCTTTGAGGCTTCCTCCCCAAATGGCGTTGGTGTTCGTCGGTTGGAACCCGGATGCTGTCATAGGCGATGCAACTCACGGTTGTCGTCGGTTTGTTCTCACTTTATGCCTTACAGCCTCCTGGTTGTCGTCTGTCGGGGTCGACTCGCTTGCAGCTGATGTGAATTAGAGATCTTCAGGGTATGTCTTTTTTTTTAAACATTCAGAGTATGTCTTTGGTGGTGGCACAGGTCGTGATAGTGGTGTTTGCACTAGCTCCGAATGTACGATGAGCCTGTAGCTGAA